ATAATAATAAATTAACTAACAAAGACATAAACTCGTCATACTAAGGGTTTATGATCTTATAGTAAGAATAGAGACCTGCAAGTAATCGCTGTATGATTATAGTAATCCAGAATAGTCTCTGTAGTGAGTAATGTATGACATATGGAAGTAGCAACTGCATGAGCTTGGGAGAGTTGAGATAACTTCACAGAGGAGGGAGTGTTTAAGGAGAACCTTAAAGATTAAGGAGGGCCTCCGCAGGGGATGATTAGAAGGGAGGATTACTCCAGAGAAAGCCAATAGCGTGGGCTAAGCATGGAGGAACATAAAACCAGTGTTCAGAGAATAAGTGAATTCAGTGTTAATATCTGAAAAGAAGATGCTGTAAGAAGAAGAAATATGAAAAATAAAACTGTAAAAGAGCAGGACTGATCTTACAGACCTATACACTATGAAAAGGACAATAGACTTTATTCTATAGAATGTTGATGTATTTTGATGTCTGAGGTGTTTTACATCTTATGCTTTAAATTAATACTCAATTCATGAAAGTTAATAGTGCAAAGACCTAATTTATTTTAAGTACTTAAATTCACATAACTTGCTATGCTATTTACATACCCTGTAATTTTTATTTCAATAAAAATGATTATTTTCAGGGGGATCTTTGATAAATGATTGGACAACTCAGACTAAATTCTTTCATATCAATACTTGTGCTCATAATAAACTTGAGTAATTAAACTCCTTTACATGTTTGACATTGCATGTATGAATTTACATACTGAATTTTATTTTTAAGCATTTCTGATGCCTGACTGAACAAATTTCATAACTTTACTCAGCAAAACCCTCCCAAGAATTTGTAAACAACTCATAAATCCATTAAATCATATCCAGTTCCTTTAAATAATCCAATTGCATTTACAACTGGATTTTTCAGATACTTTTAAAGAAACATATTTATTTTAAAAAATGTTAGGCATATAAAAAGCAAGGAGAATAATATAATGAGTATCGATATACCCCTCCCCAACTTCAACAATTATAAGCTCACTACCAATCTTGTTTTATCTATATACTACCCACTTCCCTCGTCTCATATTATTTTGAAACTAATATCAAACATCATATAACTACATTGGTAAATATTTCAGTGGGTATTCCTAAAAATAGACCCTTTGTATTAATATAAAACATCAAGCCATTATTCAGTTGTCTCTTAAATCCTGTGTGGGTTTTTTTGTTTGTTTGAGTAAGAATCCAAGCAAAGTCTATGGCTTATATGTTTTGCAATTCTCTTTCAAGCTATAGGTTCCCCTTGTATTACTTTCTTTTTACTTATTGCAGTTTATTTGTTGAATACATCAAGTTGTTGGTGGGCATTATAGTTGCCCACTGTGCTGATGGCTTCCTTATAGTAAGCTTATGTGCTCCCCATTCCTCTGTAAACTGGCTGTTGGATATAGACAAGCGTTTGATCAAATTTTGTTCTATTTTCTAAATGTGTTTCTTTCTTTGTTTAGGTAAGACATAAGACTCCTTCCTAGGTGATGGTGGATTTTTTTATCAGGAGCTCATAGCTTTAGCTGACTCTGTTTTGCGAGGCCAGCAATCATAGACATTCAACACTTAAGAGTCCTCACTTTTCAACTAAAATAATAAGCCTAACTCATGAATATCTAATGTAACAAATTTCTTAAACATAACAAACACTTAAAATATTGAGCATACATTATTGTCCCAATGATTAGAAAACTTATTTCACAGATTTTTGTATCATGGGTTTGAATTACTTCATCCTTTCTGTATAATTCTGAATCTTCTAAGATCTAAAAACGCCAACTAAGAAAAACAAGTGTCATTACCAATCTCACTGGCCGTTCACACTTACCTAGATAGTAAGCTATGCATATATGTTAATTTTTAAATGTTCAATTTTTTAGTGTCTTTATTAGATAAGAGTTTATGACTACATATATGTATCTAAGGTATTTCTTCCAGAGTCACAAGGACACCCACTAAGCCTTTTTTATGGCCTTAGTGATAGCAAGGCTTTTCCTGTTCACATTCTTCAAATGGTATTATTTCACGTTAGAAAGATCACTTTGGCAGCTGCATAAAGGAGGGACTTTAAGGGTAGAAAAGATGAAGCACAATTCTCGTTCAGTTCAGTTCAGTTCAGTCGCTCGTTACTAGAAGACTATCCAGAGGCCACTACAGGGGTCCACACTAGTGATGGTAGAATCCTGCTCTTGTGTCTAGCAGGACGAGGGAGAGAGATGGAAGGGGAAGTGTATTATAGGAGATATTAAATATGTAGAACTGACAGAACTTGATTAATTTGACATAGCATTGTAAAAGAGTGAGAAATAAAGGCTCTCACTTTTTGAGTGAGGCTTGGGTGGTGAAGTGAATTTTTGGTGCAAGTCACCAAGTTAAGAAATTGAGTAGGAAAAATAGATTTAGGCTGAAATGAGAAAGGAAAACCTCAGCTTCAGGGATGTTAATGTAGAACCATCAGTGGGACATATAAACACAGATAGAAAAATGAATATATAGATAGGCAGATGATAGATAGATAGATGTGTCTGAAACAAAGAATATGAGATTCTCTATGGGCTAGAGATTTCAACGTGAAGTCACCAACATTAAGATACTTTGTGAAGGTAAGGAAGCATATGAGAATATAAGACCATCTAGGGGCAAAGGTAGAAAGAAAAAAATGAGGAAGCCAAGACAAGAACACAAAAGAACACCATCACTTAAAAGAGAAGTCAGGAAACTAACCCACAAAGAAAATTGTGGGATCAAGACCAGAGAGACAAGACATGAGCCAGAAGAGCTTTCTCGTGGAACCAAAAGAGGCTCCAGGAAGGCAAAATAGCCAATATGGTGTTAAGGGCCACAAAGCAATCAAGGAAGCTGCAGGCTGAGAAGTGTTTAGTGGATTCAGTTATTAAGCCTTTTAAGAGTAGTTTCAGTGAAGGACTAGTGAAGGAAGTTAGCTTGCAGCCAATGAAGAAACAAGGGGAGGAGAGCAAGTAAAATGAGCGTGGACAGTTTTCCCTACTTGGACTGGGAAGAGGAAGATGTCCTTGTGGTGATGTGTGGAACTTAGAAAAGTGAAGAGAAACGTGTGTCCTTTATGAATGACAGTAACTTGGGCTGAGGGAGGAAACAGTACAATAAGTCCCTTATATATGAACAAGATCCATTCCAAGAGGACGCTCATAAGTTCATTTGTTCTAACCTAGGTTGTAAGTACTGCTTAGGCTGTAACTACAAGCCTTGGTATCCAACTAACACAAGGGGCTATATAGTACTTACTGTAATAGGTTTATAATACTTTTCACATAAATAATACATAAAAAAACAAACACAAAAAGTAAAGAAAATATTTCTACTCTTACGGTACAACATCTTCAAAATACACTAGAACATGACAATAGCTGGCATACAGGGGCTGGTATTGAGTGAACAGGCGAGAAGAGATACTAATTGGAGGAGGGAGAAGAGGTGGGAGATAGCAGAGCTGAAGGATCATCAGCAATAGGAGATGGAGGGCAAGCTGCAACTTCATTTACTCCTGACGTAGTTGGATATGCAAACACATACACACATTTGCATCTTTGAAAGCTTGCAACTTGAAGATTTGTTTGTAGAGGACTTACTATAGTGAGATATTTAGGGATGGGGAGGGAAAGAAGAACAATAATAATAAAAAATAAATATGATGACACACAGAAGAAAACAAATAAAAGGAGTGAAATACTGATCATTCAGATAGCATTCAGAACACAGATGGAAAGAAGAACTTTGGTCAGGAGATGTAAGGATGGGTGTAATTGTAGATAAACTTGGAAGTTATTTTGGAATGTATTTTCTTTAGAGATTTCACTCCCAATAACAGCAAAATAGTGAAATAAGAAACAAAATCATCTAATGATAAAGGGAAGGAGACAAATAGGAGATTTAAGGGAAGAAGTGAAGGTCTTGAATAGTTATCGAGAAGAATGATGTAAGAGAAGATTGACTAGGAAAAAGATGTGATGAGATTATAGGATGGTGTTGGGAGTGCAGCTGAGACTGAATGTCAATTATTTGTAATCTCCCAAATCAGTAAGATGACAATTTTCCCCAGCTATGCTGATCAACCAAGAATAGAAATAGAAAATATAGATGGGTCCATAAATCATTAAGGATTCATGTGATAACTGCAAAGAGTCGGACACGACTGAGCGACTGAACTGAACTGAACTGAACTGAGTGAAGTGGTTTGAAATGAAGCACCTTGGAGTCCAAGCCACAACTGATGGAAGCAAAGCCAGGTGGAGAATACCTAGAAAGGGGGGAGGAGCCAGGACTGAAACTAATCGCCTTTGAAATCTATACCGTATGGCCAATTATCTGCCATCAGAACCCAGAATTGACTTATTGATATACTGTTATTTTTAACAGAAAAACATATTAGTGCCCTGAAACTATGGATTAATTGTAGGTGCTCACTTTGAATGGACAGTGCTGGACACAAGTCCCCCAATTCTCCACTCTTTTGCAGCAGTAGCAGCGTCAGTACAAAGCTAAAACATGTTCTACTGATTTCTGAAGTTTTAAAGCAGAGTAAATATGAAAGAGAAAAGAGTTATTTTTATCTTATTTTTAAAATTTTATTATTTTTATTATTACTATTGCCTGCACTGAGTCTTTGTTGCTGCTCGCAGCCTTTCTCTACTTGTGACAAGTGGAGGCTACTCTCTAGTGCAGTGCATGGGCTTCTCGTGGTGGTGGTTTTTCTTGTTGTGGAGCATGGCTTCAGTAGTTGTGGCATACAGGCTTAGTTGCCCGCAACATGTGGGATCTTCCCAGACCAAACATGTGTCCCCTGCCAGATTCCCATCCACTGGACCACCAGGGAAGTCCAAGAGTTATTTGTAAATAATCCTTTTTTTTTTTCTTTTTCATTGTAAGAGGAGCATCTACTTATCCCATTTTCACTTTTTCCTCTCTCTTGTTTTCAGAGGCCCTGTAAATGAAGAAAATCAAGATAGTGTCATGCACTCTGATGGTAAGAGGCAAATACTATTTTATTTTTTGTTCCCTCAGATATGACAGTTAGAGTTAATTATTCTTATAGGGTCATTAATGAGTCATTATCATCATTAGTCCATGCAAGTCCTCTCGTTTTACTTATTTATTTATCTTTTCTCTTCACTACCCACTCTCTTTCCTTCCTTCTCTTACCAGAGTAAAATATTTTAATGCACTTAGTGTGTATATGTATTTTGTACACATTCTTTGTATATTGTGTGTGTATATGTATATATTTCAATTTACATAAACAGTATATTATAGCTCATTCTGGTCTTTTATTTACACTCAGACTAGTGTGTTTTGTGAGACTCATCCGTGACTATATGTATATTTAATTTATTTCTGTTAACTACTGCACAGCTCTCCATGGTATGCATCCTATGCATATTTCACCTCCAACTCACTATTACCGAAAATGATATTAATAGTTCAGTGCACCTTTTTGTCCATATCCCCATGTGAACCCCTGAGAGCCTCCCTTTAAGATGTGTATTAAGGAGTAGAGTGACTGCTTGTAAGCTATGGCATATTCATTTTGACTGAATAGTACTGGAGTACTTTCTAGAAGAACTGCATCTGTGTGTAGTCCCATCCCAGGGCATGAGGATTCCAAGATGCTTGCCTTTCACCAGTGCAGAGGCTGATTTCCAGTTGTTTCCAATCTTCTGTGTATAACATGTCTTGTTTCAATTTCATATCTCAGCTTACTATTGAGTTCAAAACCTTGATTTGTTTATTAGCCTTTGTGGTTTTCTCTTCTGAAAGTTGCCAACTCCAATTCCTTGACCATTTTTTCTTGGGGTTGGTATCTTTTTCTGGATGACTTGCATGAGTTCCTTTGTATTCCAGATATTAATACCATGTCAGTTGCAGGGTGGAGAAGGCGATGGCACCCCACTCCAGTACTCTTGCCTGGAAAATCCCATGAACGGAAGAGCCTGGTACACTGTAGTCCATGGGGTTGCTAAGAGTCGGACACGACTGAGCGACTTCACTTTCACTTTTCATTTTCATGCATTGGAGAAGGAAATGGCAACCCACTCCAGTGTTCTTGCCTGGAGAATCCCAGGGACGGCGGAGCCTGGTGGGCTGCCGTCTATGGGGTCACACGGAGTCGGACACGAATGAAGCAACTTAGCAGCAGCAGCAGTTGTAGGGATTGCAAATATCTGCAAATATCTTCTCTCATTTTGTCCATTGTCTATTAACTTAGTCCATACTGTCCTTCATTGAACATAAATATGTTTTGATATAATCAAATTTATTAATACTTACTTTGTAATTTGTACTTTTAAAGTTTTATTTAAGAATTCCTATCCCTAGGAAATAAAAATATTTTCTTCTATTTTCTTCTATGAACTTTATCCTTTATAGTTAGTCTTTGATTGTTTGCAGTCCACTTTTGAGGAATTAGTAGAAACCTAGATTTTTTTTTTCTCCCCTGGAGAAGGAAATGGCAACCCACTCCAGTATTCTTGCCTGGGAAATCTCACAGACAGAGGAGCCTGACAGGTTACAGTCCCTGGGGTTGCAAAAGAGTCAGACAAGACTTAAAAACTAAACAACAACAAATGTGTGTTCCTATTTGTGTGTATTTAACTTTTATCTCTGAGCTCTCTGTTCTATTCTACTGGTCTATTCATTCATGTATCAGTTCCACATGGTTTTTACTGTTATTGTTTTAGATGATGTCTTAATACCTGAAAATTTGTTGATATTATTAAACATTTACTTGAGCAATAAAATATCTTTTTTTTTAATATCTTTAAAAAAAATCTAATTAACTTGATTCGTTTGATACATGAAAGCAGATCCTTAGGAACAAATGAGTCAAAAAGTGTGAACTTGTGATTTTTCTGGTAAAGCCTGTGTTCCACACAAGCCCGCAAAACCAAATGTGGGTGCTTTCAGTGTCCATTTGTAAAGAGACTAAAGAGTGTCTTCAGTTTTTTTCACTTTTGCATTATTTTATGAAAGCTAATGAAATGATTTTAAAATAAGTTACAAAGTTTAGAAAAGCCATAGTAAGGATCTAAACCACATATTCTATTGTGTACTTCTAAACCTTTGGTAAAGTATAGATTCTGTTAACATTATGAACTGTTTTGAGTATTATGTTACATCTAACAATCCTCTATTAAAGCATTTCTTAATTACTATCCCTTTTTTTAAACACTTCAGGTACTGGAAATCTAGATGAGGTTAGTTTCTCTTTTTTTATTCTTCTCATATTGCTGTAACTACAATATGTAACAATTGCTGTGATTTATTTTCTACTGACATAAACCAAAAAATGAAAACTCTTAAGAATAATGGTAATATGTTTCCATTTGCAGTCTTATTTCACCTGAAATGCTTGAGACATTAAACACCAGTCATTTCACTGACTCGGTAATTTTGTTATGCTAAACAGAAACTGAAGTCTGGCTATAACTCTGAATTACATAGCAAGATATAAAATGAAATCTTTCTGTGCTTCCTTTCCCAGTCTGTCTCCAAAAAGGAAAAAAAAAAAATTAAACACACCAAACATACACACAAATTTATGTTTGTTTTACTGAGTATTTGAGCAGTGTAGTATATATTTGTTCCCTTATTGAATAATTGCAATTAATCATTATTAACGTTTTTCTTGACAGGAACAAGAGAGTGAAGGAGAAACATATGAAGACATGTATGAGTTACATTTTTTCTTACCATGATATTTTTCTTCTAAGATGAATGTAATAATTTGTATGAGGGAGAATGAATGGATATTCAATACTAGGAGAGGGAAAGTTCAACTGTTCAAATGACGGGCATATAATGATAACCTTTATTTCAATACAAAGGACTAAAGATTCCTTTCTTGTCAAAGGATTTTACAGAGGACTCTGTTAAAATGCCATTGTGTGAGAGGTCAGAATCCTGCAACCCACTAGACAGCCCACAGGCAGGGAATTAGAGGGCCAGGAATCTGAATTTCTTGCTCTCGATGTGTCTTTGGGCAAGTGAGTTTGTGTTTATATTACAATGTCCTCACCTAGGCAGTACTTTATCTCAAAATTCTGATCTGAGAGATGATTTAACACAGCACTGAATCCCAAAGTTTTAACCTGCTTAAGAAGAAAGACGCTAAAAAGAGTTTCCAAGTGGGTTTCTGGGTGGCCCAGGATTAAGAAATTTCTTAGCAAATGAGTGAAAATAAAAATGAGCATGTTCTCTTATTTTATCTTTTGTTGATTCAAATATGTTCATCTTCCCTACCCAGAATTCAGCTAATTCTGAGTAAAGTTTCTAAACGAAGATTTGTGCCTATGAGTACAAGTGAATATGTGTATGTGAACTTGTACCAGTGAGTGTACTCTTGTGAGCGAGAGTGGGGGGGTGGGTTTAATTGTATTCATGGTGACAGGCCGCAAGAACCTTTATAACAATGACTTCCACTTGCCCTCAGGGGTTGTAAAGGTAGCGGGGGCCTTTGTAAGGCATCCTCATTTGAATGCCTCCTGCAGGTTTTAAGAACAGTCTCACACACCCAGGAATTTTGACAAGACTTAGCTTTGTACCTTCACCTCTATTCCACATACTATCTTCTGTTTGGGGTAGGAACCTCTCTAAATAGTGCGCCCTAACACATAAATGCCTGCAGGTGCTGAAACAACCAAATTTTTATCCACAGAGACACATCCAAAGAAAAAGAGAAGAAAAGGGAAAAGGAGGAAAAGAAGAGATTAGAGCTGGAGAAAAAAGAACAGAAAGAGAGAGAAAAGAAAGAACAAGAAATAAAGAAGAAATTTAAAGTAAGAGCTTGCTTGCTGATGGGTGAAAAAGAGTAACCTCTCTTTTTATAACTTTCATACAAAAGGGGCACCATTTTTTGAAACCTTACATGGTTGGACAACTACTTAATCATTGTTTTCTATAGAGTAACTTCATAACAGTAATGTTTTTGTCTACTACACTCCATTATCCCTGCACTAAAAATGCAATACAATAAAATCCAAATAAAATATGTGGCTTATAATTTGGATAAAATCTAAACAAAATATGGTAGAAGCTCAGGAAATTTTATGTCAGTTGAGTGAATTAATACTCAGTTATTCAAATCCATCCTGACTCTCCTCGTTATGCATTTCATCGTACCTGGAAAATTCCATGGACGGAGGAGCCTGATGGGCTACAGTCCGAGGGGTCACGAAGAGTCAGACACGACTGAGCATTTCATGTTAACCTACTCATAATATGGGCTCAGGACTATACACATACATATCCCTGTGGCATGTGTTATCATGGTGCATGGGATAGAAGTGTCTCTGGATGAAGCAGACCTGTCTCAATAAAACTCCATGAGCCACCCTGACTGATGCTGTCTAGACCTGATGCGCATCTATGCCTTTACTTTAAGCCTATGTACATGCTGACTTCTCATACCCTCTGTTTCTCCTTCCTCATTGACCTCTGTCTTCTCTGATCTTTCATTCTAACTGAATGGCTCCTATTACTACCACTATACTTGCTGGCTATACTCTCTTGGATAGGCTTTGATGACATGGCCCATCTGGTATGGGTCTGGCATGTCAGCTATATTTAGAGTGATTATCTAGTCACAAAACTATTCTTCACTTTGAAAAGGATTCATATCAAGTTTCCTTTAAATATTTAGTTCCTCCAGAACATTTAATATATGGTTTGAATTATAAAAATCTGGCTTATATATAATTTCCCAGTGTACTGATTATAGTGAAACAAAGATGCAACAGTGGGACGCAGGGAAAATGTAAAACTTAGACTCAGTTGGACAGATGTGGATTCAAATTCCAGCTGCATTTGTGAGTTATATAATCATGGGCATATTGCTGAACTTATCTGAACCTAAGATTCTTATTTTTAAAGTGAGTAGACGATATTTCTCCTGAAAGTTTGTTATGGGATTAAATAAAATAATACATGGTGTCTTATAGGTTCTCATTCAGTTTTGCTTACTATATATAAGCAAAAGTAAGATTGCAATATGAATATTAAAATATTTTACTCATACAGAATGTATGGCTACCAATGTTCATAGTTTTCAAGTGGAAAACGTGGAAAATTAATTTCTTAAACGAAAATCTTTATAACATACTTTTTATGAAGAGATTGTTTATAGTTTTGAAGGAATTAGGTGAAGCTTTTCCTTGTGGGGTTTTTTTTTTTTTTTTGGAGAAGCCAATTTTGGAAGAGATTGTTTATAATTTTGAAGGAATTAGGTGAAGCTTTTCCTTGTGGGGTTTTTTTTTTTTGGACAAGCCAGTTTTGGATGGTTTCACTCATTTATTCAAATACTATTTGTTAGTAAGAAAAAGATAAGATATGAAATCACACCACCAAACATGAACTCAAACATTTGTCAAGACTAGGACTTTACACGCTATATTCCTTCCACAAAATTGTTAATAGATGTTCAAATTAAATAAATAAATGTGAGAACTGTTATACAGTTCCACATTTCATTAATTCTATGACAAAATATTTCACATTTTAAAATTCTGAAATTAGGATGCATTTTAACATTGTTGGCACATCAAAGTTTAAATCAAGCTAGTTTACTTTCTTGGTAGTATATAATTAATGATGGTATCTCACAATTCATCACATCGCAAGTTCAATAAATAAAGTAGAGCTTCTTCAAAAATCATGGTGCATATTTGCATATCAAAAGATTCAAGAAATTCTGTTGAAAGACAAAAGATTAGGAAATTAGGACTTTAGGATTCATGGACTCTAAACTAGATTACTACTCTGCTGTCAAGAAACCACTGTACTATTCAGGATATTAATTATAAAAACATCACATAATATTGGTTTGCTATTTTTTTTATTCACAAAGCTATTTCTAAACTGTTATCTTGTTTATAGCAGGTAATGTCTACTCCAAGTTTATAGATAGCAAGTACCATCAAGTCGAAAAAAGGAAAGAAAATGTTTTTCTCACAAGTATGACCTACCACCACTACTAATCCTTCTCTCTCTTGCTATTTTAAGCCTGCAGAGAACCATCAGAATAATTGCACGAAGCAGAGAGGGAAATAACCTCTGTCTAGTAAGCAGAACACCAGCATACCCCATAAAAACACATAGCACCCAGCATGTCGCATACATAAGTGGTGTTTGATTTTCAGTCACTTCCTCTTCAAATCTTTCAGAGTTCCCGAGGTCAACAGATCACTGCTGTTCTCTCCTGGCCCCTGAACATGTGCTTACCTATTCTTTGCTGGTTCTGTCTGACCTCTGCAATTTTCCCCTAGTCCCTCCTATAAGAACCCTCACCAGAAATAACATTCACCCTCAAATTCTAGTTCAAACCTGTAAATGTTGGTAATAAGCAGGTTAGCAAGTAGTGGACCTAGTCTTTCAAAACTGCATTCCATAAGGGTTTCCTGAATAGTAAGGAGCTGGTTGTGATTTTTTTTTCCCCTCTTTGCAGCTAACAGGCCCTATTCAAGTCATCCATCAAGCAAAAGCTTGCTGTGATGTCAAAGGAGGAAAGAATGAACTGAGCTTCAAGCAAGGAGAGAATATTGAAATAATTCGCATCACAGACAACCCTGAAGGAAAATGGCTGGGCAGAACAGCCAGGGGGTCATGTGAGTGCATATTTTTCTACGACTTCAAAGTGTTTTCTTTTGAGCCAATCTTAATGTGAAAATTCTTCCAAAGCTAGTCATAGCATTAAGTTGCATTATGCTACATAGCATAAGTACCATTATGTTACAGAGTAGACAAAAATAGGAAGATTTTAAATGACAAACATAGCTCCATCTTCACCTCATTTGTGTAATATTTTTAGTTGGGAAAAAATGTAAATATAATATCCCAAGGAGGAGCAAAGAGTATTAGGTTTTTCATTGATGTTAAAAAGCAAAAATGTTTCTTCTGAATCACTTTAGAACCTTGAAAACAGACTCTACTTACCCCAGAGCACAACATCATGAGACTTTGACAAAGCACAGTGATGCTGTGTCAACAAGTCTTTAAGTCAGAATTGCAAGCAAAGAAATAAAGGGAAAATTTAAAAAGAAAGTGTACAATTGATATTTTATTCACAACTCCATGATATTTACAGTTATCTGAACATAAATTGTTCCCCTTTTGGTAGATGGCTATATTAAAACAACAGCTGTAGAGATTGACTATGACTCCTTGAAACGGAAAAAAGGCTGTCTCGGTGCTCTTTCATCAAGACCTTTTGAAGATGACCAGGAGGTGTATGATGACGTTGCAGAGCAGGAAAATGTTAGCAGGTATATGTAAAAACAAATTGGAAAGCAAATCAAACTATCTCTTTGTCAGAGATTGTGGGTTTTAAGATACTAGAATTTTACTTTCCTAATTTCCTACTACTTTCTATCACTAAGTTAAATTACCAGTAAATTAAATTAATTTACCAGTAAATTAAATCACTTCAATATAGATGATAACCCATTTGAAACTCTATAGTCTTTCATTTTACTCTTTGGCTATTTGTGTTAAATACTACTTGAAATGTAATGGGCCATTGGCAGATGTGTTGTCAATACAATATACTGGTTTGTAATATTCATTCTGATTTGACTTTAAGGATATGCCTAGAATACATGTGACTTTGTATAATATGAAGCATGAGATATAAAAGTTAGCTCTAAAAATATAAAATACTTTTCTCTGAAATCTGAGTATAAATATATTTGTCATTGTTATTTTAAAATATAACAAATAGAAATGCTTTTTATGACATCTTTGCTCTTTAAGAGTAAGAATGTAAAAGCTCAATCTACCATGATCCCTAGCAATCAACTAAGGGTTCAACTTTCCATTGGACCTTGTGACCTTCCCCGGAAAAATTACAGGACCATCTTTCTGGGGCAGAGGGACAGATCAAGACATCCTTTCCAGGGGAACCAAAGAGGAGGGCAGACTTCTCTGTCATACTTTCCTTCTCTTGCTTCTCAGTCTCCAGCTCCCTTTATAGTGCCGCCTCTTCTGTCTCTTTCTCCTAGCTCTGATCTTCCTTGTTCTTTCTTTTTCTTCCTTTTCTGTTCTCCTCTCATTCCTTCTTTCCTCCAATATCTCCCTTTCCTGGTAGTCATAATCCCTTTAAAGGAAGGAAAAGGAGAAGGAAAATCTCCAACCCAGCGAAGAATCCTCATTTTTCTATGCCCACTTTGTGAAACAGGGAAACCTCCCCACATGATCTATGCAAGATCTTCATTTGAGAAAAAAATGTGTCTGCATTCTTTATAAGTCAAATTTCAAAGTAAAAAATGTTTTTATTATTAAGCATTCTAAAAATGTAAAATGATCAAAATAGAAATATATTAATACTTATTAATAATAATAGTTATGAAACATATAAAGAATTAAATTTCCCTTTTACGGTCTTGAGCTTATGGCATCAGTTAAACTTACATTGCTTTCTGGCAGTTCATCATTCTAAAATGACTGATAGCAATGCTGTCTTAGCATATTATGATCATAAATTATGCAATACATATCAAAACATGCCGTGTATGCACTGGAGTTTACAGATTGTAAATTGACCTTAGTAATAAGAAACACCTTGACCTACTTTGAAGTTAGCAAATGTCAAATTTGATGTCAGAGTTCCAAATGGCCATATTCTGAGAGTTACAGAATTTTCTAGACATGAGTATGTCTTACCATGTATGTTATCAGCGTATATACCTTATGTTGGGCTTCCCTGGTGCTTCAGATGGCAGAGTCTGCCTGAGATCCCCTGGAGAAGGAAACGACAACCCACTCCAGTATCCTTGCCTGGAAAATCCCATGGATGGAGGAGCCCAACACACTATAGTCCATGGGGTTGCAAAGTGTTGGACACGAATGAACAATGTCACTATACTTTATGTTTGTCTTTTATCTTTTAAAAAAAAAGACACAATTTCTCCCATTTTGGAATTCAGGAACTCCAGTGAGATATATATATATATATATATATATATATATATATATATATATATATTTACACTGATGAAAATACTGAGAAAATATATAAATCCCCAAGAAAGTGATAATATCCTTAAAATGAAGCATTATCTTCATAATAAGTGACTGTTTCCCAAAACTAATGCTATTACCATTTCCATTTTAACTAGTCTGTACATACCACAGGGCTTCCCAGATGGTTCAGCAGTAAAGAATCCACCTTCCAATGCAGGAGACCCAGGTTTGATCCCTGGGTCGGAAAGATCCCCTGGAGAAGGAAATGGCAACCCACTCCAGTATTCTTGCCTGGGGAGTCCCATGAACAGAAGAGCCTGGCAGGTTACATATAGTCCAGGGGTTGCAAAGAGTCGGACACAACTTAGTGACTAAATTTCCACCACCATACATACCACAGCTCTACAAGACATCTCCAGTTAGTAAACATGACCCAGAAAAGGAATCTTCTATTTAACAAAATGGGGTTAGAGGAAGTGTATAGCTTTACTAATTAATATTTTAAACAAGTATAGACCACAGTATTTACTAGCATCTATTCCTTCTTTATGCATATTTAATAAGAAAATGGAAGAAGAGACATCACTTCTACACAAGTTTTGGTTTTTTTTTTTTTAAACTACAGCTGCTGCTGGCAGAGATCTTATAACAGAACATGCTTTGTCCTTAGTAGAACAAGGAAAGATGTTGAGTATAGCTGGCAGCTTGTCCTGGCAAGAATAAGAGAAAGCGCCATCCTCTCCTCTCCCTCCCCCAGATACCTCCTGGCTCCCATCAGGAGGTTCTTGACCAGCTCTTTCCCAATTTCTCCAGGTTAGGAGAACCAACAGTATACCCCACACTCTGAGAGCAGACAGGAGGCTTAAAAAACACAGGTCTTGGCAGCTGTTCTTCTCCCTTTCTTCTCAGTGAAGCAGTTTTTTTTTTTTTTTTTGTAATAAAAGTGAAAAGTTGAACAAAAGGAAATTACAAGTGCAAATACCACTCCTTTGTCATATAAAAAACTTTTCTTCTAGGTGTGTTTTCCAACCTTTTTCCTGCCATTTATCCTTTCCTCTTTCTCTTTCCTGGTCGTTTCTCACATTCTCCTTCCCTTCCCTCTAGCTCAATAGATCAATAGTTTATATTCCAAAGAGAAAATGAAGAACTGCTTTAGAAATCAAATAATATATAGTGGCTTTGTTCCTGATTGTGATCACCCAATTCTTTGGAAATTGGGTATGAAATCTCCAAGGTGGAATATGTTGTTTTTGCCAGAAGTGGCAGCCAACCCAAATTGGCAGTTTTTCTCATAATTCTAAATGCTTGCTTCATGCTCAGAGGAAAGTGTTGAAGACAGTGAGTGTGAAAATAGTTTGTAAGCAAGTAGCGAATATACTTAAGCTTCATCAAAAATCACTTCTATTTGTATATTAAGACATTTATAGCATGCTTTTCTCCGAAGTGAAAGTACTTTTTATTTCTAGATTAACAGTAGACTTTAAAGTTATTCTGACTTTAAGGCTAAGGATCACATATGATGTATAAATATACTATATGATTGTAATATCAGATATCCGTTCTTGGAAGATTATCTAAAAGGCAAAAATGATGACACGGCGGGCACAGTGAGGTGTCGTCAAAATGATGTCATCCATACAGGAAAGCGGGACACTGAGATTTTTATTTCATTTTTTCAATTAATCAAAAGTGGACATGGTCATATCACTTCATTTCTCAGAGCCTCAATTTTTTTCTGTAAAATGAACTAAATGACTTCCTTTGCTTTCCATAATTCACAGTCTAGTGGGGAAATGGGCAAGAAAACAATTATAAAATAGGGGAGGTATGGAATGTTATAGAAAGAAATTTAAAATGCAGAAATATAGAGAATTAGGAGCTACACTCTACAAAGGCCCCACGAATAGATTTCAGTTTTTTTTAATACCCCTTTGTAAAAAATATAATGCTATCGGACTAAGAGTTAAATGCTGTAATTATAAGATATTGAGAGGAAATTGAATTTAATACAGTAACGGTTCTAGAATAATACTCTCTTTTTTTTAATAAGTCTATCTATGTAGTGATGTAATACTATATAATCTGAAAATTGCCTTATGGTAAAATGCTAGAAACAAACAATATCATTGTTTAGAAAACTTTATGGAGTACTGAATCTCACTTGATTCTTATTAGTTTTGCTTTTTTTTTTTGCTTAGGTACTACTTATCTATTACAATAAGGAACAATTTTTATTCCTTTTCACATATAACATCTAATAACTTTTTTCTAATTAAAAAGTAGCTGCTTTATAATATTATATTAGTTTCAGGTATGCAAGTGATTCAGTGTTTTTATAAGTTACACTTCATTTAAAGTTATTATAGAATATTGACTATATTCTCTATACTGTACAATATATCCTTATAGCTTATTTATTTTACACATGGTAGTTTGTACTCCTTAAACCCCCACCCCCACCCCAACACTGGTAACCAGTAGTTTGTTCTCCATATCTGTGTCTTTTTTTGTTTTGTAATATTCATTCATTTGTTTTATTTTTTAGATTCCATATATAAGTGACAACATACAGTATTTGTCTCTCTGACTTATTACACTAAATATAATACCTCGCAGGTCCACTGGTATTGTTGCAAATAGCAAAATCTCATTCTTTTACGGCTGAATAACATTCCATTGTGTTTACACACTACGTCTTCTTTATCTACTCATCTGTTGGTGGACATTTAGGTTGTTTTTATATCTTGACAATTGTAAATAACATCCTGATAACTGTTGACTAGAATGTTATTTTTTCTCTCATTTAACTGCTCAATATGTACTTCCTTTCCTGATAGCTAAATAATTAATATATCAATTAATGTCTACTCTTTTTCTCCTAGCCACAGTCAGAGTGGAAGTGGAGGTAAGCTACACACTTTTATCAGTTTCTCAAGTCTTCGACGTTCTTGTATATATTAATGACAAAATGCTCTTGTTTGCAAATAATGAGGAGGATCTTAATGTGGTAGAAAGAACAATGGACTGGGAATCAATGACATGGAGTCCAGTCCTGGCCACTGAGTGACCCTGAGCAAGTCAATTCTTTCTTCCACGTTATGGTCATAGGGTGACTCCACTTCCAGTGTGCCCAGGGCAGTCTTGATTTGTGCCAGTTGTCTGAGCACAATTTCTAGTAGTATCCCCCTTCACTTTCAGAAATGTCCCTATTTGGATGATACCTTACATAGTCACCATAGCTATGACTCCTAAAGACTTCTCATTATCCCATCAACAAAATAAGGGTTGCTAAAAACTGGCAGTGCTGAAATTCTCATCTTAAAAATCTAATTTCAACTTTATTGCACATATTTTTACAAAGAAGGTAGTCTTTGTTAAATAACAAAGAAACATTTGTTAAATAAATATTTGTCAAATAGCAAACATAGGATAACAAATCAAGCAAGGGTTTAACTTTTAAAATATTACTTTGATGAAATGAAAAAGTTCTTTGTCCCAGCTCCCATCAATGTTTACAGTCACTTTTCATTAGCTTTCCTTTCGTTACATCTTGATCAATGCTTTTTTCTGAATGTCTCCTTAGTATTAATTAAGTTTTTCTTATCAACTTTTCCCTTCTTTTTCCACAATAAATTTTAACTCCATCCTCTGTTTAATTTTACTTTTTCTCAGTTATGTCCCCCACTTCTGTCACCTCCAGTACACAGTACTCTATATCATCCCTCATATTTTTACAGTTCACTTCTAAGAATTCCTTATAAAATAATGTTAAAAAATTAATTTACCTCTGTGTAAGAGTGGGAAAATAAAGCTATTTTAATTTAAATACTTGCTATAAAAATAAGATGCTCTCTGCATCTTATTTCGCATAAGACATTTATTATCAAATTTTGAGTGAGCATTTGTGACCAAATTACAAAATTAACAGATTTTTTTCCCCCTAATTCATATGAAGGGATATTCCCACCTCCCCCAGATGATGATATTTATGATGGGATAGAAGAGGAGGATGCTGCTGATGGGTAAGAATAATCAGCTTAATTGCCTCTTTGCAAAATATATATACTGAAATTGTCACTGGTTTTGATTTCTAGTTAGAATAAAAAGCAGAAAGTAACGTTCCCTGTTACATAACCAAAAATGTTTAATTAACAGCAATGGCAAATGAGGAATTGTAATTATACCCCACTTCAAATGATGTGGTATATTGTTTGGAATATACCACTTGGAACCTTGACAACTATGTCAAAAGGAGTGAAACGGAAAAGGGATAAGGGTTGCTAGTATTCAAACTTTTCCCAATCATTTATTTACCAATCAATACTTCATTTTATCTCTGGAAAGTTTATAGTTGCATGGCTAGCCTTTGTATAGTAATCATGTGCTGTGCTGTGCTTGGTCGCTCAGTTGTGTCCAGCTCTTTGCAACCCCATGGACTGCAGCCCACCAGGCTTCTCTGTCCATGGGGATCCTCCAGGCAAGAATACTGGAGTGGGTTGCCATGCCCTCCTCCAGGGGATCTTCCCAACCCAGGAATGGAACCCAGGTCTCCTGCATCACAGGTGGATTCTTTACCATCTGAGCCACCAGGGAAGCCCTTGTATAATAATCATAGTTGTAAGCAATCCAAATAAATTGAGATCATATGTTTATCTGTGGCTGTATGTGGCAATATTGAAAACTTAATCCTTTGGGTGTTTAAACTTTTGAAGTGGTGCATTTTAAAATTTAAATACATATTTTAAAATTTTAATCTAATAGCAACTTACTTTTAATCATAGCAAAGCTAAATTGATGTTTAAAACTTTTGACTCAGCTCACTGGTTTAAGAAACAAGGTTTAAGAAATCTACCAAATAGGAGAAAATAACTTGCCTACTATTTACCTAGTCACAGCAGTATTCAAAGACCATGACTTATAAACTTAATAGCTTCATCTTGTTGAATACAATAAGTAGCTTACAGCCTGAATTATCAACACAGTATAACTATAAAAAATCTGATCAATGCCTGCATGCTCCAAAGCTCCACACTACAGGTTGAAGAGAAGAGTAACACCTGGTCCTGGGGGATTTTGAAGATTTTAAAGGGAAAAGATGACAGAAAGAAAAGTATTCGGGAGAAACCTAAAGACTCTGAGTCAGACAATGATGAAGGTTCATCGTAAGAGTCAACCAACTACCAAATCCAGTGCACAATAACTACACTAATAATTTAATCAAATGCTACTAATATTTTATAACCAATAACCAAATTCTGACAGTCTTAAGAAATTTTAATGTGTTTTTCCATTAGTCATTCTAGTCTCATTTATTGTGTCACTTTTAAACTCGTGCATTTACATAAAATCATCATATGCGTCAAAAATTTATTTTGTTTTCCTTTCAAACATGCACAAATCCACACGCATACATATAGTCAACCTCCATTTAGTAGGACCTTTTTTAAGCTGTAAATCACATCTAAAAGGTCACAATTCCAACACTACATTTTATTATATAATATTTTATACTGACTATTCAAAATATACATTCTCTTTTAAAAGATAATTTATAGAAAAAAAGGACAAAATTTGGAATTTCTTTTCTCTAAGTACAATATCTAAAGTCTTTGTAACTTTCGCAATAATGATATAGTAATTCCACTTGAATTACATGTTTGTCCTATACTAAAATTATTCTAAGTATCTTCAGTTTGTATAAATAAGACTAAAGCATACATTTTATCTTTCTATACAAAAATAATTCTTTAGCATAAGTTCCATGTTTATAAATTTGAAGGACCTTAAGTACACTCAAATTTTTATTGTTTTATATATACTAATAGACTCACCACACTTTAACAGAAGTCTTTATAAGATGTTAATAACACATAGAATTCCTAATTTTAAATCCTTTTGTGAGACACTAAAACAACACTCAATAAACGAGATACTTAAAATTGTAAGTAAACATAGCAAATCTTCTCTTCATGTATCATTACTCATATGTAGTCCTCACTTAGAAATAAAAGCAAATATTTTTTTTTGCTCAATAACACACCAGCTAATTCTGATTTTAAATCACTTTTACTAATGACCTCTCACACTTTAGTGTAACTGTGCACCATTCTTCCAGTTATGTATGTATGTGTGTTTAAAGTTCAGAAAGTAATAAAAACAAAGGTTTTTTTCTGTTGCAACTAAAAGTCACCCAATCCTGATTTCAAATCACTTCTGTTAATAAGTTCTCACTCTCTGGTTTCAGTGGATATTCCTCTCTTATTCACCATTCTTCTGTTTGGGGATATATGTGTACATATTATCAAACAGTATTATGTCATACTATGATCTTCATATGACCATACAATACTATGGTTACATGAAGATTCCTGTGACTTTTGTTGATTTTGACCCTACATTCCTATTCTTTGAGTCAAACAGTTTTCATCTGAAGCTACACTGCAATGACTGAAATATTTAGATCATTTCATTTACTCTGGTATGATAATATGCCCAAACTTCATAGAACAAATTCAGAAACATTGGTCCAATGACAGTGAGAAAAATAAGCCACTGGATGTCATGATTCTTGATTTGTTTGGCCAATGCCAGAGTTCACAAGAAGTCTTGCTAAATTCCAAATTGATTGACAAAATCTTGGGACTCAGCAGAGAAATGGAGGATGAGAAAGGAATAATACTCAACAGATTAGCCTTTATAAGCCTCAAGGCTGTTATTTATTCATGCCTTTCCTAAATAAAAGACCCAATTTTCTGTTTTTATATTGGTCTGATTATAATTATATTCTCATTTTCTTTCCAGTTTCCCTTCTCCTCCTAAACAAGTGGGTAAGTAATAAAAACTAATTGTGTTAATATATTTTATATCTCGCTTCTTGCAGATAGGGTAGCAGAAGCAATCGCTTTAGTCATGCTGTCCGAATTAAAGTCCTGACTCTGAAAATAATAAACTGTATAACTTTGTCAAGTAACTGCACCTGGGATGGTCACAGTTTCTCAACAGTAAAATAGTAGGGAAAGGAAATTTTTAACTATCAGTGAAATTTTAAACAGTTCTTCCAGTCACAGGATCACTATGGAGAAAGGGACAAGTGAGTAGAGATGGGCCCCAGCAGTCCTCATAGATCCCACCCCAATTTAGTCAGAGTTTGATGTTATTAGATTTCTGCAAAAAGAGTTCTAAATACATGCCACACTATGTGCAACCAAGATCCTTCTGAATCTAAATTTCTTTGATTTTTAAAATTGTATCATTTATATTGTCTTTGGAAATTTTTCCACTGGTAAATGTAAAATAGTTTTTTCTTTGTACAATTTTGATCATCTTATTTTTTTACCCCTGCTGAGACTTAAAGAATTTTTCTTAAATTTTCTTTGAACAAAATAAAATGTCTTGCAAAAATATTCAGAGGCTTTCAAAAAGTTTATTTTAATCTATAAATAAATTGAAAATGCAAACCAAACACAAGGATAACCTATTCTTCCAGACTGTTTATCTGACTTTGTTTTCATCTAACAACTTGAAAATATGTAAGGCTGTATGTAGCTCAAAATAATTAATAACTGATGATGAACTTATATCTTAACCTATAATTTTTAAAAAGTACTCAAGAAACTTAGCTCCACAAAGAGTAGATATAAAATGGAACAAATGTCATCAATTAAGTAAAAAATGTGTTACTCGTTTTGATTTCTTTTGCCTTTAATTTTGTCTTAAGAGCATGTGCATGGAACAGTAATTTTTCCTCTTCTGAATGTCAGTATTTTTTTATATATATATTCTAGATTGTTCATGTAGCTGAACAAGTTTTTATACTGTGAAATTAATCTGAGTGGAAGGAAAATATGCACATATAAATACAGCATGTATATGTGTGTACATATATACAGAACAAGGGGGAGTAAAAGGAAATCAAATTCTTGCCACTGTTAGAGAGCATTTTAAACTTTCTGTGCTAATCATTCCTTAAAACATTTGTACTCTTTCAGCTTAATTTGCAACTTAATAGGTATAGAAAGGAAGCACTGCCCCTAACTTTAATAACAAGAAGTCTAGAAGGAAGAAAAGTGTCTACAGATTGGAAAAATCCTTGAGGCAGTTAAAAAATATTGACTTGTTTGTCAACAATTAACTGATCCTGCCGTTCATCATATTTGTGAATCTTCAGCTGATCTCAGTCACTATTTGAGGGTTTTTTCCTGACAGCAGTAGTTATAATCACAGTCACTGTTGTTGCTGAGGGAATTTTAACACAAGCATCAAGGAAGAGAAAAATCTTTCCTCTTTATGTTGTTGTCCTCAAAACAATCTTTATATTAAAAACATCATTAAATGCTCATATCAAAATGTCCACTAACAGTGTTTCACCATTTGCTATTCTGTCTTTGTTAGACATGGGAGATGAAGTTTATGACGATGTGGATGCCTCTGATTTCCCTCCTCCCCCAATAGAGATAAGGTAATTAAAATGTTCTCATTACAGTGAAGTAATGAAAATCAGACAGTTCAAGAACATTCAGTTGGACAAAACCCCAACGGGGTGCGTCTGTACTATGTGCCATCCTGTTGGCTCTGTTCTCCTCTCCCTGATCCCAGCTCTGAAGTCTCTGCCAGGTTTGTGAATGGATGGATAGCCCAGGTCCTCCTCCTCTTTCTCTCTCTCCCCTCCCCGACTGTTCTCCCTTCCCCTCCCCCACTTCCCCAGGGGTCCTTCTGGTCCCCTGGTCATCCTCTGCCCTGTGACTCACCAATGTCTACGTTCATTTATTCTCTCATTCACTGGGGAAATATCTGAAAGCCTGGTAGCAATTGATCTCACTAATTCATCCCCTCCCTTTATTTTTACTTTTTCCCAAACACTGTTTGTCTTGAAGACACTGCTTAATTTGTATCTCAAATCCTAACCCACCTGCTTCAAGTCTCCTCTGTCCTCCTCAAGAAGATTGTTTTCTTTTTGTGAAAAAAATGAGAACAAGATTTGTATTTTGAAAGGACTTTTAAAAGTTATGTCATATTTTTACAAAAGCATCAGATTCTCAAAGATTCCATTCAAACTAACAACAACAACAAAAACAGTCAGCAGTCAGTTGTGACATTCTTTAGTTTCCCTAAGGCTTCAATTTAATTTTAGACAAAAATTGTAAGAAAATCTAAAATCAAGTACTTTTTGAAAATTCTTCTGAAATTGAATGTAACAGGGTAGAATGCTTTCTTGTGCTCCAGTGAGTATGTGAGATGATCTGATACATGCTAAAAGGAAGAACACCTTTAACTTTTTCAAGAAAAAAGAAAGATGAATAAAAAGATCTCAGAATTGATCAGTTAAAGGAGGAAAGTAACATCACTGGAATATAGTAAGTGGTGTCTTCTGAGCTATACTGGTAAAAAAAATGCATGAGGGAACTCTAAGTAAATATTTATTTTTTACCAACATTGTTAAACTAATTTTATGGAACAAGAGGCAGTGTCAAGATCAAAGAAACTGAGGGGGAAATATGTTGTTATTTATATATGATGATCAAGTTCTACAGGCAAAACACACCAGAAATGTGAAAGGAGAATCATTCTCCTTTTTTAGTGCTCCATGAAAGGAAAATCTAATAGTGCTCACCATAAGGAAGTCACTTCTATCCCTGATAGTTTTAAATGCATTTTTGTGCTTAATATTACTGTAGAAATGCCACCACATTCCATTAAATAGCTCTCTAGGAACCCAGAGTCATCCACTGGCCCTTTTCTTTAAACAAAATAAGCCCCAGATGATTCAACATTATGCAATATGGACTATTTTCTTTCCCATTGCTTGTTTTCAGAGTTTAAGACAATTGTGTATTCTCTAACATAGCATCGCATTTTTAAAAATAAATTTCAATAAATTATCTTTCAAGAGAACTTGTGGGGCCTTTTTAACATTCACTTGTGTTCTGATTGCTCCAATGTGCTAATCTGGGCCAGAGATTCCATCACTGCCCAGGACACCAGCAGACAGAAGATTGTATCGTTTAGTTGCTCAGTTGGGTCCGACTCTTTCCTACCCTATGGACTGTAGCCCACCAGGTTCCTCTGTCCATGGAATCTCCCAGGCAAGAAAACTGGAATGGGTTGCCATTTCCTCCTCCAAGGATCTTTCCAACCCAAGGGTGGAATCCGTGTCTCCTGCATTAGCAGGCAGATGTTTTACTACTGAGCGACCAGGGAAGCCTGCAGAAGAAGGCGCTGAGGGACAGTGCAGAACTTAGGGCAGGACAGTGCATACTAATGCACCTCCCAGTGAATAAACTCAATTCTAAGAGTGAAAAATTAGGACTCAAACATTTTAAATAGCGCAGTTACAAACAAAGCTTTATCTTAGGTAATCAAAATAAAAATTAATCAGTGTTTAAAAACTGTCATTATTCACAAATATTCTGCTTTTAAAAACTCCTTCCTACAGAGATTCACAGCCTTTTCCTAACAACCATATTTAATCCTGGGGAATGGTTCACAACCTTGATTTCAGATTAAATCACCTGGGGGCTTTTAAAATATGTGTGTCGGTATCTGGACCTCACTCAACCTAATTAATTAGAATTGTTAATTAATTTAATGTAATTAAAATTTCTAGGATTTAGACAAGGGCAGTGGTATCTTTAAAAAACTTCCCAGGTGATCCTATTTGTGACCGGGCTGGAGAATCACTACCTTAGACCAGTTTACTTCTCTTATAGTAATTGACTTTAGTTGGTATCATAAGACACAACCTCGGCTTCATTTTAAGTAGATATAAAAAATGAATATATAGATAAATTTTTAAGCCATGAAAATCAATCTTTCCAAAAGTGTTCTTTGGCAGGGAATTCCCTCATGGTCTAGTGGTTAGGATTTAGCACCTTCAGTGCTGGGGCATGGGTTCAATCCATGGTCGGGGAACTGAGATCCTGCAAGCTGCATGGCATGGTCAAATTTTTTTTTTAATGTTCCTTTTTTAAAAAGCTTTTTCTATGACATTAGTCAAACCACTTGATTACCTAGGAAGGGTTGAAAAATATAGAGGATTCAAGAATAGTTTGGATCATTTGAACTTGCTGATATGTAGCAATGTTTAAACTACACTTTGGTCATTTTATATTGTCCAACATGATAATCTCAAACTTCCATTTTAACTCAGCCTGTACTCTCTTGAAGAATATTCTACATTAAGAAAAGTCATCATTTATCACAGTGAATGTACTAGATTCTAAGAAAAATAATTAATTGAAAATGAAATTTAACAAAAATGTAATGCTATGAATTCTCCATTATACACTCTTCTTTTTATGTTTTGAAACTAAATGTTGTTTTATGTGTGTTCTGCCATCCTAGTCAAGGAGCCAAGACCAAAGCCGAAGAAAAAGACCCTAAGAAGCTAAAAAAGCAAGAAAAAGAAGAAAAAGACTTCAGGAAAAAATTTAAAGTGTGTTACATTTAAATATCATACAAAGTTCAAAGCCCGAATAAAAAAACTGATGATTATCTGTACAACTATCAACATCACAGTTATCCATCACAACACCTTTACTTTCTACAAACTTTGTTTTAGATTTAGATTTATTCCTATAAGAAATTAAGCGAACTCTTGTACATGCCCAATATACATACTGTGGTAATCATCTAAATTTAGCTGTCCTTTGAAACTCATTAAGAAGGTAAGCTAAAAACAGAATGATTAAAAATGATGTGGTACATATATATGAAATATTATTCAATCATGAAAAACAAGGAAATCCTGCCATTTGTGACAATGTGGATGGACCTCAAGAGCGTTATGCTAAGTAAATTGTCAGACAAGAGGCAGAGACAAATACTATATGATATCATTTCTATGTAGAATCTAGAAAAACCAAACCCAGAGGAACCAAGAGTAACGTGGTGGTTACCAGAAGTGGAGAGCAGGGGGAGCTGTTTGTCAAAGGGTACAAATATTCAGTTATAAGATGAGTAAGTTTAGGGATCTAATTACAGCATGGTGATTATAGTTAGCAATACGGTATTACATACTTGAAAATTCCTAAGAGAGTACATCTTAAATGTTCTCACTACAAAGAAGCAATGGTAATTATGTAAAGTGATCGAACCAACAGAATTGACATTTTGATGGTAATCATTTTGCAGAAAATGAGTGTGACAAATAAACACATGTACATCTTAATTTTTTTATTTTAAAAATAATTACTATATTAGGTTGGTGATATTGCAAGTGATTTTTCCCCAAAAAAGTTTTCTTTAATCTTCTTTTGTTATCTTTTGAAACGATAACAAGGAACTAGTTTTTTAACAAAATCTGAAATTTTGATGGCATTTTTAACAAAATTTTTTAATAAGTCTGTCCATAAGTGAATTACTTTAATAATACACATCAATCAATAATAAATGTTTTCCCTTATTTTTCCAGTATGATGGTGAAATTAGAGTCCTCTATTCCACCAAAGTTGCACCATCCTTATCTTCTAAAAAGTGGGGCAACAGAGATCTACAGATAAAGCCTGGAGAATCTCTGGAAGTTATACAAAACACAGACGATACAAAAGTTCTCTGCAGGAATGAAGAAGGAAAATGTAAGTCACTACTTACTCTTCAGAAATATGATGCTCCAGCATTTAACAGCTAAACAAGTTTTAGTGATCACTCCAAACTCTTTTTGATCCATGCTTTGTAAATTCCATGCTTTGTAAATTCTGAAAAATTCACATTAAGAAACTGGAGATCTTGCTGGGCTGGAACCAATGTATTTCATTTTAATTTTTTTCATTTCCCACCTGCTATATTTGGCACTGAGTTGAAAAGATAATGCCAAATTAGTGTTTCTGGAAATATGGTCCCACAGACCCCCAGCATCAGAAAACTCTGATGTGATTATCACAATTGCAATACCCTGGCCCCACATTTGACTTGCTGAGTCATGAGCTCTGGGGGTCAAAGATTGTAAGTCTTTCCTAGTTTGCTCCTATGTACACTAAAGTGAGAACCACTGTGCTAAAGAATTGAGTGATTCTTGCTCTGGTCTGGTTTTAAAATTATATCTCATATGTCACACCTAGCATTTCCAGTTTTCCTACCTTGCAAATTCACTTGTTTTCATTTCCTATTTGCCACATTTAATATAACCTACTCTTCCAAATAAATACAAGACAATCCTTTCCTCTCTGACAGCTACTTAAGCTGACAGATGGAAATGTTTTTGTCCAATTTTAAAAGGTAGCTTATTTCATTTAAAGTCCGGGGAAGAGTAAATCAAAATTCTGTTGTCCTATATTTAAAACTGAATAGCCAGCCTGGCTGTCCCATATCAGCCCAGTAAGTCTGCACGGAAAACACGAACTCTGAGTTCAATTTTAATGACAGGAAGGTGACTCAGGGACAGGAACGAAAATGGATCTTTTAAGAATAAAACACAGTGACTCAAGGGTGGGGAAAATGGATCTAAAGTTTTTATGGACAAGGTGTGGTTGGCTGTAAAAGGGAAAAATGGAATGTGGGTACAAAGGATAACAGGCAGGGGTATGTAGTGTTTAGACTAGAAGGTCACGGAGATAATTTGAAGACATAGCTGCAGGAGACAAAGAATACCCCCATTCAATCCAGGATTTGTGAACACACACCCTAAGGAATAGTCTTAAATGCAGATAACTGCATGATTTAAAGGGCTGCCAAAATATTTTTTTAATGTTCAAGATTTTTAAATTATTAAAGTTATGATGAATATACCAAATTGAATATTTTCCAGGATGATTATGATAACATGAGGAAATGCTCATGATCCATTAGTAACAGAAACAAGAAGCCTGCTTAATAAAGGATGGGATTTATTTACAGCCATGTTTTAAAAATATGTAAATAAAACTAAAATGTTAATAATGGCTGATGAGGGCGATGGAGGGGGTTGCTTTCCAGGTGACGCTAGAGGTGAAGGACCCACTTGCCAATGCAGGAGACGTAAGAGACACTGGTTCAATCCTTGGGTCAGAAGGATCTCCTGGAGGAGGGCATGGCACCCCACTGCAGTGTTCTTGCTTGGAGAATCCCATGGACCGAGGAGCCTGGCGGGCTACACTTTATAGGGTCACAGCAAGTTGGACAAGACTGAAGCGAATGAGCATGCACGCATGCGCAGGGTGATGGGCCTAAGTTTCTTTCCCTCTGCTTTTCCAATTATGTCACATTTTTCACAACAGACAATTGTTCTAATGCTTGTTATATGGACCTTTCTCCAGAGGACAAATTTCAGGCTTATTTTGACCTGCTGTCTGGAGATTCCTGTCCTTAACAACAGACCCCATCTAGAGCAATGCTCCTCGACTTAAAAGTACATACACTTCACAGAGATCTTGTTAAAAATGTAGATTTTAATTTAGTAGATCTGAGGTGAGGAGTTTTCCCAAGGTCTCACGTAATTCATGCTGTTAGTCCACAGAACAGACTCTGAGTAACAGGATGTAAATGACCTCAACAACAAACATGTATAGATACAGATGGGCAGATGTAGTTTCAGCATCAAAAATTGAAATTCGGAGCAGACTCCTATCTAGGAATCAACAGACCTTAAGCAGCCATTCAGCGATAATTTGTAATCTGCTGTCATTTTCTATTTGGACATCAATCATTCTAAATCCTAGTATGAATAGTGGAGGGCTCCCATCCTCTTAAGACTTTATGATCTGTTAAAAATGAGAAGTGAAAACATTACATGATAAAATCAAGTGTTCCTTGTTACTTTTATCTTTTTTTTTTCCCCTGGTGTAGGACCAATGCAGTTTACAGTTCCCAAGCTCACAAATAACTAATTCAATTCTTTGGTGGTTTGGGGTTCATCTCAAACAGAATGAAAATTATCTTATTATATCTTGTATGATAGTTGTTGTTTATTTAAAAACTTCCTTTGGCCTGGACTTTGTCTTAGTTTGGCCTCCCCAGTTGGAAGGTGAGTCTGGGAAACTCCCGTGGGCAAGTGGCAGAGTAGACTGGGAAGAGAAGGCAGCTAATAAAACTTTGTTATCAAAAAGAGGTATCACTTGGGTAGGTGGAGCTTGCATGCTCAATTGTTTCAGCCATGTCCAACTCTTTGTGACCCTATAGACTGTAGCCTGCCAGGTTCCTCTGTCCATGAGATTCTCCCAGCAAGAATACTGGAGTGGGTTGCCAGGGGATCTTCCTGGCCTAGGGATTAAACCCACATCTCTTATTTCTTCATTGGCAGACTCAAACAGCAGTGTTATCCCATCCAGTGGGAAAAAAACAGGGGTATTTATACATCAACTCCTGTCCATCAGGAATTGAAGCCTACCCCTGGGCATGTGGCCAGTCATTCAGGACACTGAGAAAGCAGACAACGAGAGTTCTGGAAGCCAGAAAAAAAAAAAAGCCATCAGTAAATAAATAGAAAATGCAATTACTATCAGTTGCAAGTCGAACCACAAAGCCCTGAAATCATGAGGGTGAAAGTACATGGGAGGGCCATCAAAAGCATCTTCAATTGCATTATTCCACAATTCAATGACCAGATTTATTTCATTTCCCTTTTATTTTCCAAAATCTCTTATCTTTCTTAATTTTTCCAAAATTGCTCCTTATTCTTTCCCTGAACTGAATCCTTGACGTTTTTAATTTTAATGTCTGATCCATTCCTCAAATATTACTATAGGATTTGGGACAGTTGCTGTGTGGATTTAACCCTCCCTCATCTGGATTATTCCAATAACCTTTCAAAAGATATGATCCCCTTACCATTACTCTCAGACAGTCAACTCACCACACTGTTACCTGAATATTATTTTTAAAAACATGAAGTCTTTACGGTTAGTATATAAAATCCTTTATGATCTAGCCTTCCCCTCATCAACTATTTCCCATCTGCAGCTGATACTTCAGAAACACAAACTACCGACTTGTCATTGCCTGAGTAAATTATGCTATTTCATCCTTCTATACTATTTTATTCTATTTAAAATGCCCATAAATTATATATTAAAAACAAACCAGTTGTCATCTAAAATTGGAAGCACACTCACTCCCTCCTCCCTAGACTTCCTAACACAATCTCTCCCTTGCTCCACCATACCACTATTGTTACTGCTGCAATTGTCCTTATTGCTTTACCAACATATTACTCTTATTAGACTCTGAGTTTGAGAGTAACTTCAATGAAATGTTAACATTGTATTGCCAACACATTCTGCACTGCCTGGTACCTTGTTTGGGACTTGCTGAATTGAGTATAAGAATTTGGAGGCTGCAATTGTTTAACCAGATGAAAATCTGACATGCTGACATTTGTGGGAAGAAGTCTGTTGAACAGTTTAACTTGTTTTAAGACACAAGTTCTCTGTCTTAGCATTAGTGATTCAGTTCACTTGTTGTGTATCATTTGAGAGACTCTAAATCTTTCAGTTCCTTTTTCTACATGTAATTAGCAGTAATAGCATTTGCAATCCAGCACCACAGCGATCCTAACATTTTCCTTAGTTTCTATTCTTTTTTAATCTGGCAAAAAAAAAAAAAAAAAAAGAGAGAGAGAAAACCATAGTTTACTTAAACACAGTTTCTAATGGTAGAAATCCAAGGCTAAAGCATGAACTTTAATCCCTTCTCACTATTGAACAGAGCACAAGTCACTTTTACTGGCATTAACACATTTGAAAAAGTCTCACCCACAGACTTGTAGAAGAGCATATTGTAGAGGCATTGAGATCTTAAATATATATTTGATGGCACACTCCCAAATGTTTAGAATTTCTTGATAATATTTGTGCATTTTCCTCAACTCAATGTCTCATAAGCTATGAGTTTCCCACCTCCTGGAGAAAATTTTCCTACAAAAATGTGTGGAATGAGACATGAGCTGAGTTATTTGTGGTCAAAATGTCCTCCATTTCCTTTGGGCATCAAAGGAAGGGGAATTTTAAAGGTACTTTGAATGTCTCCAATCCAATTGATCATTTCTTTGCTTAGGTAATTTTGTTTTCCATTTTAAAACATCACATGCTAACTGAAGAAAAAAAATTTTATTCAGAAATTTAATAATTCATCTGATTTGAAACCCTAAAACTAAGTAGGAAGAGAAAAAGAGAGGAAAGAGAACATTTCTAATACACTAGGATAATAATTTATATTTAGTATTATACACTGCATTTCATTTTTAACTTCTATTCCACTATGAGCATTTTCTCTTGAAGTTGGACATTGTTTCACTTGCCTGGGTAAAAGTATGCAATGTGATTTTATTGTTTTTAAACTTCATGAGGCCAAGTTGAGTAAATTTAACTTTATTTCTGGGCTTGCTTACAACAAATGAAATAAGGAAATAATATAATTGCTCATTTTTACTGAGTAAATAATTTGAAAATATTAGAACAATGATCTCTTTGATTTTATTCCAAAGATGGCTTTGTATATCCTTGTATATCCTTGGTAATTTTATATTCACAACACCCTTCAGAAAGGTCAGTCATTAGTTCTAGGACACATCTGCCCTGTAGCAAGTAACGTTAGGGGAAGAAATTAACTGGCAAGTATAGGGGGTGGGTGTGACTTTCTTAACTAGCTCTACCCCACCACATATTTCAAAGCATTTGTTTCAAGCCACTGTGTTCTATGCTCTGTTCTGTGAATGTGAAGTTTCCAAATAATAATTTCATATGATATATGAGACTCCCTGGTGTTCCAGTGTCCATCATATTATAGAGCTAACTAAACACAGTAGCTCCTCTGCATGTTTTAGAACTATGGTGAGATTTTCTATTTCAATTGTTTGTATTTTTCATTAACGTTCCCTATGATGGTTGTACATGGAACATGTGAGCAAAGAGAACATTTTCTACTGCAAACAAAAATTTGTTTCTAGGAACTATAATGGAGAGATTGTATAAAAATTCATGGTAAGACACTTGTTTTGACACTGTCATGAATCATGCTTCTAATAGAATGAAGTTTTAGCAGAGATTTCTAAAGGTACTAGACAGCAAAACCTATGCTGTATTAAAAGCTGTTCACCCTGTAGAAATGCTATTTAATAGTGATTTTATAGCTAATGAGCCCTAAATGACCACATCATTTCAGGGAACTAAAATAGAGCAGCGCAGGACCAACCCTGCTCCAAACCCTTAATATGTTTGCTCTCAAATAATGTTCCCAATCATTGATGTTTATGTATCTCACAACTACAAAAACAGCAACAACGTTAGAGCTTTCCTCAAAACACAAAGTGGTTAGAACTCTTGAACAGACAAGATAATAGGAGGAAATGTAATAGAGGTTTGGGAAGCTAAGAAAATATATTCTTTATAATTAATTTTGTGAGATTAGGTAATTAAACTGTATTGTGAGTTATTAACTTTGATCACTGAAAGGACTGTTTTACGCCTAATTACAGATAGTGTTTTTTCCATGTCAACACAATTTTAGCATAATTGAGTTTTAAAAAAATAGATGTCCTATGGTGGTGGTGCTGTAGTCGCTAAGTCATGTCCGACTCTTGGAACCCCATGGACTGTAGCCTGCCAGACTCCTCTAGCACAGGAAAATAAAAACCTTTAATTTCCAAAATGAGGATTATATTCTTTATTTTGGATTTTGTTTCTTTTGACTTTCTAAATATTTTTTACAAATGACAACAAATATATTTGATGCCAGAATAATTCCAATCTATGGCAATATTTTCTTACTTCTTTTATATTTCCCTAATTATCTACTTTCTAATTTTAGTTCAGATACTTTACAAAGTCCAGACAACTAACAAAGAGATTGACTTCATCATTGAAGGCTTCAGTCGTTATTTTTAAATTATTAATTTAAACATGAATATCATAGAACACTTAACTTGTGTTGTTTTATTTTCCAATTCGTTTTAAGAGAAAATTAAAAATGAAAGCATAGCCATCAATTTTAACTAACGAAAAAATAAAGTTTTTGACTCTTACTGTCTGTAGAAATGGTTCACAATTTATGTTAGCCCTAAACACAGGTACAGATAAAGACAGATTTCCACTATTGAAACCCTGATACAAAATCTGCAGTTTGTTCTAAAAGTCTGTTATTTGCACAAAGTTTCTCTTTTGAGAGATACACAGAGAATTGAATTTATTAAAGATGAGCTTATCCCCCTTTAAAAATCATGCTAAATGGGTGATGTCTAACCTTAAATTTTTTTAAGTTTGTTAATGTGAAATGAAAGAACTGTGGAATCAAAGGCAACTCAAGGGTCATAGATATTAATTTTAGATGACCTTTATATTAACTTTTTCCACATCTGCTTTAATTGAAGTAAAATGGAAGATATAACATGGTATAATTTTTTCATATTCCAAAAAAAAATTACTTTAGTCTGTCTTTATCATTTTGACACATGCTTCATTACCTCTATGCTACGTGAATTCAAAGATAACTTTGATTCTTTATCTTCCAAATATGACTCTTGTAAACAATTTTTATCAAAAAGTGGTGAATCTCTTGACAGAATATTTGGTGGCGTATTTTTACCCTGGAATATTTCAAGGGAAAGTTTGTTTCCTTAAATTTTAATGCACAATTTCAGTTATATGATTCTAACTTAAAATTTTTGCATGCTAAGTCAGTGGCAATATATTAATATGTTTAAGTAAGTTTATTAGCATTGGTATTAATTTTCATTTATGAACTTCCTGCTTTGTCATTTTTTACATATTTACTCTGGTTTAGAACCCAAAACCAGATCTGAGGTGGAGCAAAACCCATAAATTGACTTAGTGAAAGAAATTATTTAGATGTTGATTGGTAAAGCTATAAATGGTACTAATGTCAAGCATGCAATAGTGACTAGGTGCTAGCACAAAACTAATAGCTATAAAGGTTAGTAAATTAATTAGATGTCAGCAGACATTTTCTTGTGAAAAATAGTCCATATTTTTTCTTAGGAATATTTTGCTCAAGAGGGGCAAAAATAAAGTGGAAAAAAGTTGTTTGCTTTTCTGTATAAAATGTCTATTTTCTATTTAACAGAGGAATCACTGGAATCTCTGATATCTGTTCTTCTAATAATTGTTTTTTCCATGAAAGATGAAAATGCAAACATTGACGTTCTGTCAAGTGGCAAAAGCAATAGTGAAAGATCATTCACACTGATTATAAAAGAGCTGTTTTGAAACCTTTTAGAATGCACACTCCCCCAAGTAACCACTAGATTGCAGATCTGAAAGGGGAGTGGAATACAATTCTGACTGTTCAGTGTAAAAAAAATTGAAAAGTTAAGTCTTAGACCTGGAGATATTTAAAATCCCTACCCATGACCTGGGCTTCCCTTGTGGATCTGCTGATAAAAGAATCCGCCTGCAATGCAGGAGACCCTGGTTTGATTCCTGGGTTGGGAAGATCCAACCCAGAGGAGGGCACGCAACCCACTCCAGTATTCTTGCATGGAGAATCCCCGTGGACAGAGGAGCCTGGCAGGCTACAGTCCGTGGGGTCGCAAAGAGTCAGACATGACTGAATGACTAAGCACACACCCCTCTGACCTACTCTTGTAACTGGAGAAATTATGCTTAATAAATTCTTAAAATTGTGCCACATGGGTAACACCTTGAAGAAATAGATTAAACTGAGAAAGAAGCTTGAGCTACAACATACAGTAGCTTAGAAAAGAAAATACTGGTTTTTAACTTAAGGGAGAAGGAGGAAAAAATATTGTCAATGACAGAAAACAGGAGAGAGAGAAAAAAGAAAGAGAAAAGTGGACACATAAAAATGAGTCATACTTGGAGATAGATATAATTATTCAATATATTATATGATATTCTTTTAATTATTAAATTCTATTTCAACTTCTTTAAAAATAGTAGAGAGTTTTCAAGTTTATATTGTTAATAAAATATATTTTCTTTTTCTTTCTTAGATGGTTATGTCCTTCGGAGCTATTTGGTGGACAAGTAAGCCTATTTTCTCCTCCTACTATACTTTCAAAAAGAATGATATTCTTTTCTTTAGGAAGGATTCCTAATATCATTTAAATAACATAATCTACTAAACTATCATAAATAAATTTTAAAACAATACTCTATACTAACGTCAATATGGTATATCCATAATGAAGTTAATTTTAAGTGTCACTCTTTTAAATATAAAGGAGGAGTCCTTCTCTTTCATAATTATACCATTGGTGGTTTTATATATTCATTGGAGACAGGCATAGCAAACATTGGATACAGATAAAAATTGCTAGCATTTTCATTAATACTTTGCTTTTCACTACCTATTAATGTAGTAGAGGGACTTCCCTGGCAGTCCAGTGGTTTAGATTTCAACTTCCAATGCAGAGGGTATGGGTTTGATCCCTGATCAGGGAGCTGAGATTCCAAAACAAAACAAAACAAAAATGCAGTTGATTGGATTGATCGGAGATCAATAGCTTCTGCAGAGTAGGTACAAATGTCACCTGTTAACAGCTTATAGTTTGGCTCCTAATTGAGGGCTTTTTTTTACTCATGCCATGCATCATAGAGTATTAAGTTGCCTTTTTTGGAAGCATGCCAAAAAGACAAGATAGAGGTCAATGATTCTTCTATTTTTATGAATAGGACATTGTCACGGTCTGGTACTAGTGCTATTACAGTCACACTCGCCTCTCCCTCCCTGCCCCCCACAATGTTATAAGATTCTGTTCCAAGTAAACCAGTGCAAGAAATGAACTCCATTATCACAGTAGGTCATATACCAGTCCAGAGATTTACAGAATTCGGCATAATTAAGAAACCAAAGAGGGTTCACAAATTGTATCCTTAAACAACCTGACACCATCAGAAAGAGACAACTGAAGGTTAAGTGCTCTGTCAGCAAACTAGTAAAGAATCAAGAGAAAAATGATCATAACACTTTTGTTTTCTTCAGAGCATTAATCACAGTAGTAGGTATTGGACTTTTCAATGGGCTTTACTCTATGAAAGATACAAATTTCAAGGAAAGAATGTGTGACAGATAATGGGACCACATCTTCATCAGTGATTATTACAGGATGATTCAGAGAGAATTCAGAAAGTGTACTCTCTAATTATTGCTTTACCATCTATTGAAGTGAACAGTTAATAAATGTTTATTGAATGAATGGTAGAAAAAACATCTGTCCTCTTTGTGTTTGTATCAAATTTCCATTAGCCGAATCCTTCCTCAATCTCAGAAAAAGGATTCAAATAGAAGACATAGGGAACTCACGGCATCTGCCATGGTTGGCAGCAATTTGAAAAGCCGGCTGCTTCTAAATGCACCAAGGTAGTGCAGGAACCAAGAGGAGGTCTGGTCTAAGTGACAAACTCCCCTTCCATTTCTGCACTTCAAGACCGTGTCCTCCATTTCAAGGTTCTATTAATATTTATAATTCTGTTTTAATTACTTGCATGTCATTCTCTCCTCCATTAGCTTATAAGCTTCTAGAAATAAAGGCTGCGTCTTACTTATAAATCTCCTGGTACATAGGAGGGACTCAGTGTGTGTGTGAAATAGAATGTGTCACAAAGATTCAGGATCGGATAAAACCTAAAATGTGTAAAAGTCACAAACTATTATTATTGATGCTGCCTATAACCACAAACATTTTTTAAATTATATAACAGAAGAATCACTTTATGAACAATATCCTGGCTGCCTATTTTGTAACCAATACTTATATATTTTTAATTAATATTTACAAATTAGAAATATGGTAAAAATGATATACCCATTTGCGATACCAAATATTTTTGTATTTCCTTCAACATTTGAAGTTCATATGAAAGTAGTATACATCTGATATTAACAAACATAAAGAATTCATCAGAGTTTTGGATTAGGCCCCCCAGTAGAGTACTGTGCCTTGATTTTTCAGTTTGTTCAGTTCAACAAACATTTCTTAACCAAGGACAGATGTATGATAGGCTTATAGTTCAATTGAAAGATGAATAAGGCATAGTCTGTGCTCTTGGGGCATGTTTTCACTATTCTGTATGTCTATGATATAGAATAAGTTGTGTGTCTGTATGTGCATGTGCGTGTGTTTAAGAATGAAACAGAAGATTAGATTAAGTCAATGAAAGGGGATGCAGATGTATATGAAATTTCTTCCCATTTATAAATGTATAACACATAATCCTCATCATCATAATACTTCTCATCCTTAAATGTCTTGTATCACATGAAATAATGTTATTAAACTTTTAACCTAAATGTTACTTTAATATTAAGGAGATTATGTCATTAAAGTAAAATTTATTTTCTACTTTACAGTGATGGAGAGATTTATGATGATATTGCTGATGGTAAGTCTCATGTGGCACCCACCACAGGGAAGAAGGGTGAATTTACTGTTCTTACAGATACTGGAAATAGCTTACTGGATTAATAAAAGCCTTCCAATCTGATCAGAATTTGAATCACCTGAAAATGTTAGGAAATGTAAATATCTTGGTATAATGAAAGAAACGTATTTTTGTACATGACTGGAAATCAAGAGAAAATCTCTTCATTTCCTTTGAAAATAAAAGAATAAAAATACTTAGTGAATTTTTCATTATACCATGAATATTAATAAGAATTGCTTTTATCCACAAAAAATATTTGTGCTTGGACAATGAATAGGTAAATATTTCATAACATGTATTACTCATTAGTATTATCTAAGCATTGAACACTTCTAAATTATGATCTAAAAATTTAATCTCACCTGAAATGAAGCATAGTGTAATGTTCCTTTTAGTCTCCTTTTAAATGTACAATTCTTACTGATGCTTAATATTTTCTTCCTCATCCAGAATTACTTTCAAAAAATACATTTAATAAAGTTTCAGATTAAATAATCCTGAGTCACATTTTGATAGAGAATAGATTTGTCCAGAAACTTTGTTTGGAAAAGTACACTGAGCAACGAATGTTAAATAAATATATGGCCTTCCATTTAACTCCTTTTTCATAAAATGAGCCAATTCTACTTTTTCTTAATCCTAAACTAGGAGAGTATGAATCATTTACATTTCCAATGGGTGAACACTTAGAAGATATGTATTTTGTGTAACTAATTTAAATTTCTATTTTCTTCTTTCAGGTTGCATCTATGACAATGACTAGCTCTCAGCTTTGGTCATTCGGCTACGTTCATTTAACATCAGTGTGAAGTCTGGGTTTTAATTGGCCTGTGTTATCAAGTATCATAGAAAATGAATGCACAAAGCTACTTAGTACTTTTGTTAAAAAATTCCGAATTACTTTTATACGTCTTGAAATTTTGCAGTTGGAAAGTGATAGCTCTGCCTAATCAACATCTTAGAAGACTACATTTATGAGATGTAAGAAATATTAAAAACCCAGTTCTGCCTCAGCTACAATGAAGGCATTTTAGTCCATCAATAGACAACTCTTCCTAAAAAATCATTTGAGAGGAAATGACTGTGTTGTCTAAAGAAATGTAAAGAACAACAAAAAATAAATGGAAGGAAATTTTTAGACTTTTCCTAAGAGGGAAAATGATTGTTTGTACTTCTAATGATCATATCTTATATTCTCCATTCAAATTACCTAGCTTTTAAAAGGCAGGGCTGTCTCCTCTCTTATTGGTGGGTTAAATGTTTTTAAAAATGATAGTAGTAGTGGAACTTTTGTGTAAAGTTTGTCTCTATTTGTTAATTGTGAATATGTTTTAATTATTTGATGAGAATGTATGCAATTCCTATACACACCTAAGATTAAAATGGTGGAAGAGTCTAAAATGTTTTCTTTTTGTAGAATTGTACGCTAACAGTATAATTCTGTTTAAAGTGCTATTGTAAGTAGAGTGGATATGAATGAAGACTACCCTAAAATTATGAAGAATGAAGTTTGAAAGTAACTAGCCTTTAACGCACCTCTTTGCTGTGAACGCTCTTTTAAATGTTTTTGTTTTTCAATGACCTCTATGGAAAAAAATTTAAACCATTTTACTGGAAAGTTGTCCAATAGAGGGGATATAAATTAATTATCTTAGCGTTTGGGCTCTGTTTCATATTAGTACATACTCAACCAAAAACAACCCCAAAACAAAATGTGAATCATTTGGGTTCCAAATGCTAAGAACACTAAACATGACACAAACTGAGGAGACCTAACACCCAAGAAAAAAGTATATTAGGAAACTTTTTCAACTTCAACCCACTCCAGTATTCTTGCCTAGAAAATCCCATAGACAGAGGAGCCTGGCAAGCCACAGTCCATGGGGTCGCAAAAGAGTCAGACAGGACTTAGTGACTAAAACAAAATATGAATTGAGCAAATCCTAATACTGGCTCTGCTATTAATGAACCTTGATGTGATATTGGATAAATTATTAATCTTCCTCCTATTAATAGTTATCTCATTTGCAAATTTCAGGGTTAGACTAAGTCAGTTTTTCCCAATGTTTTCACTATCGGTTAACTTCTATAATCTTCCTCTGCCCTAGCCCTGTGTTTTAGAAGCTTTTGCTGATTTTTAAAGCTCAGTGATGAAATAATGATTAATGCATTATCCATGGTTTAATATTTCAAAGGCCCACCCATTGGAGAGTCTGAAGAGTAGCCCCTCTGAATTAAAATAATTCCAAGTAATTGTAAAAGAATTCAAAGTCTTCATATGGGTTAAGTAGGATTTCTACTAGGTACTTTGAAATGTAAAAATAGATTATCAACTACTGTAGTTCCATGTATTCATTCTGGGAGTCTGAGGCCCCCAGGTTAGAAGACACTGATCTTAAAAGGCCCCTTCCAATTATGAAATATTTTGATGTCTAATTTTTGATAGAGGGAGCCAGTATTTGCTCATGCAATGAATTTACTTTAAAACCAGATAAAATTACATCATCCAAATATGGGTTTTGTTTGTTAAATCAGGTAACAAATATACAGACTACACTGACAGTGGGTTTCCAGTAATTTTTTCTTCTGATTGAGAATAGTATAAACTCAATACAATGTCAGTTTTAAAAATGCTAAATTATATCAAGAGAATCTTTTAGAACTTTGGTTCATACACAAAGAAACAGATACATGCCTGTGAAAGATTTATGTAATAGGTAATTGCCTTAATATAAAGGAAATATCTGAAGTATTAATTTTAATATACTAAATATTATTTGTTTTGGTTTTACATAAGGAATTTTGTCATGTGAGAAGAGTGACAAATAAATAATACCTTTAGCAGATAACTTTGCCTCCTACTTATCGATCAAGTCTAGCAGGCTTTCTGTTCCATAACTTGATCCCATATCTGTATAAGACTCTGTTTGAGCCCATTCTTACCTCTTTTGGCTTCGGCCTCAGAAGATGGAATACCTCCGGTTCAAACCAAACCTTCCACCACTGATGTCCCTGATATCCGCCTCCTGTTTTGTGATGGAAATTGAGATAACCAAGTGCAAATGCTTCGAATATCCTACAAGGTGCAGCCTTAATCCATATCCAGACACTAACCCAGAAAATAAGATGTCACCACTCAGAGCCAAAGCCACAACCTGTTATCTCACGTTTTCCTGCCTTCTCTGGAGTCTTCTTTCACAAATATTTCATTCTCAACCTCCCTCTCTCACTTCTTCCCCATCCCTTTTTCCCTCCTACATTTCCTCTTTTCTTTTTCTCCCATTATGCAAATTCCCTCCTTTAGGCTTACAAACATACTCAAGTCTTTCCTGCTTGAAAAACAGGAAATCTTGCCTACCATCCAAATACCCTTCTAACTACAGTCTGTTCTATCTCCTTTTCCTCACTTCGTTGTCTTTCAATGGTATGGTATATGGAATTCCCTGGTGGTCCAGTGGTTAGGACTCCATGCTTCCACTGCTTGGGGCCTGGGTTCTGTCCCTGGTCAAGGAAGAAAGACCCTCACATGAGATGTGGCCCTCCACCCCCCGAAAAAGTAGATTATGTGTGGCAGCCAGGAAAATGTGCCTCATGGACCTTCAACCACAGAGAGCTTAATTAACCAAAGGCCCCAGTCCTGCCAATGCCAGCCTTCCTACAGACTGCTTCTATGTACCCAGCAATTGAGTGTGGCAGGCCTGTTCCTGAAAGATACAAAACCTTCCAACAACCTGGCTAGCCCTTCCTTACCATCATAGTACTCTGAGACGCTTTGCCCCAGCCATCTCTTCCGCCTCCCTTTCTGGGTTCAGACTTGCCTTGCTCCCTGCTGAGCCCTCCAGCCTTCCCTGCCTTCCTCCCATTTCCTCTGACACATGTATTTGCGCCTCCCTCATCTCCTACTTTGACTTCCCTGGTGGCTCAGATGGTAAAGCATCTGCCTACAATGCGGAAGACCCAGGTTCAATCCCTGGGTCGGGAAGATCTCCTGGAGAAGGAAATGGCAACCCACTCCAGTATTCTTGCCTGGAAAATCCCATGGACGGACAGCCTGTAGGCTACAGTCCATGGGGTCGCAAAGAGTCGGACAAAACTGAGCGATTTCACTTTCATCTCCCATTTTACTGCATTTTCACTCCATCTTGGTGTTTGCTTTCCAGAAGACCTGCACTGACCACAGTACGCTGGAGGGTTTGTAAAAATACACATCCTCCTCAGATCAACTGAATCAGAATATCTGGTGAAGAATTGTTTCCATCAATTTTCTTTAATTGAAGTATGGTTGATTTACAATGTTGTGTTAGTTTCAGGCATACTGCAAAGTGATTCTGTTATACATATATATAATCTAATATAAAATTATTGTTTGATAATTATTGTAAAACATTGGGTACAAATCCCCTGTGCAATACAATAGATTCTTGTTGGTTTCAATCAATTTTTAATTAACTCTAAGTATGAATTTAATGTGAAGCCCTGGCCCCTATTCACCCTCTACTACATTCTCAAGTTATATTCAATCTTCACCTTACTGCAGTCTGGTCTCTGCTACAATTACTCTCAAGTCAAGGTTATGTGGATATCCCACAGTACCTCTAACTCACATGACTCAAAACTGAACTCAACCTCTTTTCCGTTTTCAGCTGATGATTCCTCCTATAGATTCTATTTCCATGACAAATCAGCCATCCATTCACTCAAGCTCGAAACCCAAAAGTTTCTCTGCTTCTGCTCCTTCACTTTTCATGTCCAATGACTCATCATTAAACAGAACTCCTCAAAAGTAGAGAATCTGTCTTACTTGTTTTATACTCCTATATCTGGGTTGAGAAGCTTCCCTGGAGCAGGAAATGGCAACCCAATCCAGTATGCTTGCCTGGGAAATCCCTTGAACAAAGGAGCCTGGCAGGATACAGTCCATGGGGTAACAAGAGTTGGACATGACTTAGCAACTAAACAACACCAACAAATTTGAAAGTAACATTGAAACACTTAAGATTTAACACAATAAATATAAATAATATAATAATATACCCAGTGTCTCAACTAGGTCCAGTTCCTACATCTGAGTTTCAGGTTACAGGGTGGATATCTTTTTTTTTTTAATTTGATATCTCCTGAAACACCTAGGGAGGTAGTCATCCTGGTTTTTATAATAGAAGCATCTATTTTCTTTTGCCTTCAATCTTTCCCAGCATCTAGTCTTTCCAGTGAGTCAGCTCTTCAAATCAAGTGGCCGAAGTATTGGAGTTTCAGTATCAGTTATCCCAATCAATATTTAGGGTTAATTTCCTTTAGGATTGACTGGTTTGATCTTCTTGAGTCCAAAGGACTCTCAAGCGTTTTCTCTAGCACCACAATTCAAAAGCATCAATTCTTTGGTGCTCAGCTTTCTCTAGGATGAGGCAGAGTATGAGACGATTAGATAGCATCACCTAATCAATGGACATGAATTTGAGCAAACTCCAGGAGATAGTGGAGGACAGAGAAGCCTACTGTGCTTCAGTCTATGGAGTCACAAAGAGTGGGAAATGACTTAGCAACTGGACAGCAAGTCTGTTTTCCAATTCAATGACAGTTTCCTCTATTTAACTGAGGAAAATATTAGGCTGTGTATATGGTCTCCTAGAGTAGGCTGGGGCATAGTCATAGTCTTCAGCTTTTACTGAAAATTTGGCAAAATAATGAATGTGCAACAGGTACCTCTCTCATCTTTGGGCGGTTTTCCACATGCAACAATTCCTCTGTAAGTGTCTTCACAAC